GCACGAGTGGCTTGCATCTTCAGAAGTGGTTTGCTTGAACGCTTACACTGTTCTCATCAGAACCCGCGTTCAGTTCTGCGGAAGAACTGAACCGGGGTTCTGATGAGAACAGTGTAAGCGTTCAAGCAAACCACTTCTGAAGATGCAAGCCACTCGTGCTTGCGAAACGTCCGGAAGAAATTCCATTTTACGACGGCCTAAAAACCCGCAAACTCCTTAGCTTCAAGGAATGTCCTCGAAAGTCTATTTATTTTGATCGATTGATGGGGTTTTTCTGAAAATAGTCTGTTTGCGTTCCTTGGAGAAAAACAACGCGATGTTAATCAGAGACTCGATTTATCAAAACTGCCGTAAATTGACTCGCTTGTTTAGTCCAAACGACGCTCTCTGTTAGGGCGAAAATTTGCTGGGAACATCCAGTATATTCGAGCGAATTTCGGAAAAATTCTTGGGACAAAAACATGAAAGCCACCGCAGCAACGCAATCAAAGCTTTAAGGCCCCAAAAACCCGAAAGACCGACTTCTTGCGCGCCGCAGTTTACCGAAAAAAAATCCGGAAAAATTGACAAACTTTCTGCGTGTCCACTTAGGCAAATTCCCAGCTTTTTCCAGATTTATTGGGCCTGTACTGCCGAATAAATCAGCACTTAAACGCCATTCATTTCGCTCGACAATCGAACATCAAAACGTAATTTATGGCCGGCAACTGCAATGGTTATACACTTCCTTCCATCGATGGTTACTTACTCAGGCATCGTCGTTCGCTCGAGAATACAATCAATATGGTCACCCTTTCGGGGAAACATCGTTCGTCTTGAAAAATTGGCACACTTTTCACGCGAGTTCCCTCGGGCGTGTTGCGAGCAAAAGGAAATAAGCCGGTAAAGGCAGATAAAACAGAGCATTTCCCCGTTTTTTTTGCGGTTCCCAAACGAGCCCTACTAAATGGGAAAACTGCCTGGAAGGCTTATCAAGCTGCAGAACAGCAATTTATCTTCCCGTAACCCAAGGACTATTTTAACTGAAATTTTTGACGAATTTCTAAACCTGTTACCTGATGAAAACCCTCTTAACATTTGCTTCTATATATATATATGTATATATATACGATATATAAACTAGTGATTTTTTGCACCATCCCTTAAAATTCCTCATCCACTTGAAATGTTCACACCCTAAACCAGAGAAGTGATGCTACAAACACTCAAAGTTTCGAAACTAATGGGTTTTCCGAGTTTTTAGGCCGTCGTTCGGTAGAATTTCTTCTTGACGTTTCGCAAGCACGAGTGGCTTGCATCTTCAGAAGTGGTTTGCTTGAACGCTTACACT